AGTACATCGGCTTGCTTTTATTTCAGAATAATTCCAAAGTATATGTTGGGTTTGACAGTTCCTTTGTAACTATTGTCTGTATTGTATTCATTGCAATACGACCACACTGCTAGCAATATCATAACGATGTGCAGATTAATCGAAACTCGGTTCAAATTCCTTCAAGACTTATTATACTGAGCAACAAATTCGGTAATGAATAAAGGCTGGCAAGAACAATCCCATCTACTTAAACTTAGCACCCTTTCTTTTACTGCCTAAGGCAATACAGTGAAATTGTTGTGTAGAAATTTTGTGTAAATCCAAACTGATTTATCCATTTTCAGCTCCCACTAAGCATGCGTGTCATAAATTCGGAAACTCCTCCACTGACCTTGGATAGGACAGATTCCAGGACAGATTCCTTTTGTAGGACAGATTCCACTCGCAGAGATTCAGATTTTTTTTTTTTTGCTTTTGCTTTTCTTTGCATTTATTCATAGGTTTTTTTCGGCTTTGCTTTTTTTGCTTTCATTTGTTCAGGTTTACTTTAAATTACTTTTCACTGTAGTGCTGTCCCTTTACTGCCGTCCCTAGTTCTGCCTTAAGCTTTTAGCTCCCATCCTCGTTCCAACCCCTAAATCCTGTCTGCAAAGCAACACCTGATCCATCCCCTTTACAAGAGCATTCAAAACAATTAACATTTCAGCCTCTTCCCCATCCCGGGTATCAGCAGCAAAAATCAGCAACACAATTCCTCTTCTTCACCCTCCCCGCTCCCACTTCTCGCTCCAAATATACGTGATCAAGCCAACCGGCAAAGGTATCTACGCCATGCACTCATTGAACTCACCCACGCCAGTTTCTCTCCATTCCCCCATTCGAACTCCTGCTATAACCACCATGGGCAACTCTACCCGCCGTCAGCAACAGAAAATTCCTGTAAAACGCGGACTGGGCCGAGTCGGGTTTTGGTAATTGCCGGCGCGCTGCGGTGAATGTGGTGTGCACGTTTTGGTTTGTGGAGTAGAGGTGCAGGTGGGTAGAACGGGAAGGGGTCGGGGATTGCTGGTTTGAGTTAGGAGCGATCGCAACGGAAGCGGCGGGGTGGAGGTGTTGAGTGGAGAGGAGCTGAGACTTTGCTTGAAGGTAGGGATTAGAGGTTCTTTGTTGAGGAGGAGGAAAGGGTTCCAAATAGGGAACTGGAGACTGAGCTGTAAAATCTCATCGGAATGAAAAATGTGGTTGAAGTCATTAATGAGTATGATCTCTGCCAAATCCCGCAGACGAGCTCGTTTTGTGCGGCCGAGTGCAATTTTAGTATTATTGCCTTGGACGGGGACTTGCAGCAGAGATCCGGGATTAATTCCGGGCAGTGTGTCCCATTACTGCAGCACAGCTTCGGTCGGCAAATTCCCGACCCTTATCGTTAAAGAAAGCAGCGCGACTCAAGGCGTCACCCAGAGTGTGTCGAAATGCTCGATGGTGCCGTGTCACCTCGAGGCTGGCAGCAAAGTTGCCTCGAGCGGTACCGGGCAAGGAGAGTAGAATTTTAGGGATGCATGGAACCAACGACGCTGCAACACTTTACGAGCCCAGCAGCATCTTCCGGTGGTGACGGCAACGATTGAGGGGTTTGCTGAGCGAAGGGCAGGCCAGCAGTAGCAAGGGGCGAGGGAATTGGAGGGCGGTCTATTTCTGTGCATATTTGCAGGACGCAGTTGCGTTTGCATGCGTGCGGTGTGGCACGATGAAGCTCTCGTTTTGGCGACTGAGAATGCCAACGAACACGAAGCTGTGGCAAGACCCTGTGCTGGGCTACTTCGAAACACACGGCAAAATGAGATTCGTTGCCGGCGAGGATTACGGCATCAGCGACGACGAGAAAAAGGTTCATTCTGCTGGCAAACTTTGCGAACCCCAACTTACGCTCCTCACCGACTGCCGCAGCTTCAGAAAGGGATCGAGCTGGCACCGAAGTGATCCCAGCAGGTATCCGCCGTTCATGGTGCTCGCCCTAAAGACATTCCCAGTGCAAGGCGATCCGTCCACTTTGCGGTCAGAGCGTGTAGGCGCCATCCTGCAAGTTTGGCAGTCGCTCATAATTCCAGAATAGAAAGCTCACAAGGAGCTGCACTGAGGCGCCGGCGACAGCGCGGTTGGTTGGACACGCCGTTTAAGGAGTTTGTGCGGGGCAATGGCCGTCCGGATGCTTCTGGCGAAGAAGCAGCTTGAGTTGCAATTCGCTTCTCTCCCAAGGCGCTGTCATCCCCATCATTTTCAGGCCGTCTTATGGCGATATCGACTGAAGGAGATTCTCAAGAAAGAATATCTCCGCCGTGAATACGATCCACACACTTTTAAATATCGGGTATGTTCTCTTTGTCGTCCGCGTTGTCCCTTCCACTACCGCGTGCTGATCTGCGGCGAATCTTTCGACGTTTACTAAAACTCGACTCGGCTGCCATTAAGAGATGCTGTCGTTTTTCTACTAATACTTTTTCCGGACGAACTTTGCATTTTGCCAGCGAGCGCTGGGTAGCATTTCCTAGACATCGGCCGTTGGACAAGATAGTTAGAAGAGGGGACGGGGAAGAGGTCACGTTAGAGAGGTGGAAGGTAGTTAAGAGGTGATGGTAGTAAGTGTCCAGATGCCACCCTGGAGGCAGGGTTTAGGGACAACATAAAGAAGGGAGACAAGGGTACCAGTCAGGAGTTCGAGACAAGAAATAGATAAATGGCAACGCGCACCAGACTAGCCGGTGCGATCATGCGTTTTGTGCAATTCAGCCCATCGAACATAATAAATAGCAACGCACACCAGACTAGCCGGTGCGATCATGCGTTTTGTGCAATTCAGCCCATCGAACGATTGCTTTTTAATGATTTTCACTGCTTTGTACTTTATTCTATGCAAAAATAGTTCAAACATTGGAAAATAGTTAAAAATTCCACGCACCAGCGTATGAAAGCTGAATTCGAAACTTTGAAGGATGAATACCTTTCCGTGATTCCCGAGTTAATAGTTTACCTGCCAAAATTTTCACGAGACGGGGGTGGTAACCGAGAGCGCGAGAACGCTGAATTTGAATAGGTAAGGTTGAGCGTGGACAGGGGGTCATTATTCTTAAATTTCAGCCTCCTAGACTTGGTGGTTCCCGAGATACTAGCTTACCCGTGAATAACTTTCACAGGGCCGTACGTATTACCCGCGGGAAAGGGAAGGCTGAATTTGAATGGGCAAGGTTAAGGGTGGACAGGGGGTGATTGCCCTAAAACTTCAGTCTCCTAGACTCCAAGGTCCCCGAGATATTAACTTACCCTTGACTTACCCGTGAAAAAGTTTCACGGAGCTGTACGTATTATCCGCGAGCAAGGGAAGGCTGAATTTGAATGGGCAAGGTTGAGGGTGGGCAGGGGGTCATTGCCCTAAAACTT